ACTAATTATCCTGATGAAGGCGACAGTGGTCGCTGAAAATTTGATCCCTGTAAATAGTGTGTTGGAATAAAGTTTAACGTTTTACTATAATTACTACCAACACAGATGAACTTTCATGATATTCATTCAATCAATTGCCTTTATTTATACTGGAAATGCCCTGTAGGCCTTAGCCGCTCTTCCCAGAGGTCCAGTTGAGGGGGGGGTAGTCACGGGAACACAATAAGTAAATAGATAAATACAAATTAATACAAAAATACATTACTAAATACCTAACATAATAATCACATCTTGTCCAAAATCACAGTCCGCAAAAACTCAGTCCGCAAATCAGGTTTCTCAACTACCGCATTCTTTGTTTGAAAGTTCTCACTGATGGAGCACACTGTGCATCCTCTGGTGTGCTGTTCCACATTATATCATTTATTTATTTATTCATTTACATATATTTTTGAGGATTGATAACTTGCTTATCTGGGCCCTCTCCTTGATATACATGACGAGCTCCTGCCGAAACTTACACTTACTAGCGCATTTAACGCCATCAGGCAAAAGTGTTCCATGTAAAGACAGACCTATACATAAAAGTTTTTCATAGCGTTAGTTTTTTGGGTTTGAACAGTCTGAATGCATGTGTTTCTGCTTCTCTAACTGACTCAATACGATGTGACATTCAGAACCCCACACTGAATTCGCTCCTGGAGGAGTGCTTCAAGTTCGTGGATCCGGAGAGCTTCCGTCGGGCCTGTCGGTATGACGTGGCCCATTGCATATCGGAGTGCGAGTCCATCGAAGCGTTCGTCACCACCTGTTTTGAAGAGTCCAGACGCCAGGATGAGCCTATATGCATAGATTGGCGTATAGAATTGCCGCATTGCTGTGAGTTTCCATTAGTATTTTCTCCTTAATTAGGTCTATGAAAAAATGTTGTGTTTCCTGTTTGAGTCCTGAAAAAAATAGGGTCGTTAGGTAGGGATTTCAATGTTAAAAAACCAATTGTACAACGTTTCATCACTCAAGTGTCAGATTATGGAGCTAAGAAAGGTTGACATGTTTCATTAAGATAATACATTTAAAAATAACTTAATATAGTACTTGTAGGTTATCGGTCACATATAAGGCAATCAGTCACATACACCGATTTGAAGGTTTAACACGTTTACTCTTCATTAATTACAGCATTGAACTGCTCTGAAAGCCTGATAGAGAAGTCCTGTGCATGTGAGCGAACCTGCGAGAATCCTGAAGGTTACTGCGATGATGAAGACATGATTCAAGATGGCTGCTTCTGCCCAGACGGATTTGTGCTGGACAACGACCAGTGTGTTCCTGAAGCGGACTGCTGTGAGTTCGACATCTTTTATCGAACATTACAAACATTTATCAGTGTAATCAACTCAGGATTGAGGCGTTTACATGTTCGTTTTTTCTTCAAAATATTGTAGAGTGGAACTCATTGTCAGTAAATATGGTAGAAGCAAGGTAATAGGGGGATCAGATAGTCGAGTCTGATTTATATACACCTATAAGTAGCTAAAGATTCTCTGAAGAAGAGATGATTATACTCTTCATTCTACAATGTGTGACTTATGTAATGATGCGTAGAGTTCTTTTCTCTTTGCAATTGTACCAGAAGTTCGAAGTGGACACTTTCCTAAATAGCTGTCTTCTTTTAGCATCATTGATTGAATATGTTGCCACTAACTCACATCTGCCGTGATATTCTGCTTCATCTGCAGTGCACTGTGTGGACGACCAAGGCAACATTGTACCGGTAAGAAATTTTCATTTTCATTTATTTATTTGCACAAATAAAAACAATAATCAACAAATACAAAACAAAGAAATTAAAACGGTGTGTAGGAGGAGGAAAGAAGCCTGCAAGGCTTGTACAATGTCCTCCTCCTAGAAACTTCTAGGAAATTCTATAGTTACAGTGTTATATAGAATAGTTCATTTATACATGTAATCTATTTAATCTGTGGCAGGAGGAACATCAACACATACCAATTATGCTAATGATGACCTAATTTGCATAATTAATGTGAAAATTCTGTGACTCCTTATTGGTTGATGGGAATTTTATACCTCTCGACATGTATAAGTTACTTAAAGGTTAACACCACTATACATATATTATGTTAACGTAGATGTCATTTGCATAATTAATGAGGACATGTTGAAAGGAAGTATGACAAAGCAAGCCTATATTTCATGGAGGTATGAGATCTCGGAACTCTTGTTGTTGTTGTTTTTTTCAAAAGCACACGCATTTTTAAATTCCAGATCAACTCTACCTGGGTCCCCGGCGGTGACAGTTGCCAGATCTGTACTTGCCGTGGTCCCAACTACTTCACTTGTGAGCACGTGTACTGTGAACCTGTAGAGCAGCCCGTCTGCGAAGGTTACTGTAAAGTCATGAGGAATGTGGCCAACTTCGACCCTTGCTGTCCAGAGTACGAGTGCGGTAAGAATTTCTTTATTTTCTTCTAATGGCCAGTGGCGTCGTGCGGCGTAGTGGTTAGAGCGTTCGGCGCTCAAACAAGGAGACCCGGGTTCGATCCCAGGTGTAGGAACTGACACGGCCTTCATTGTCTCTCGAGACAGGAGGATGCCAACAACAATGTTCACCGCCTAAATCAAATGAGGCTTAGTTTTTCACGTTAGCCTCTCAAACCTGTATATGATGAGCTTCGTGTTATTACATTTATCTAAGCTGACAACGATTTAAACAGTTAGGGAAAGTAAGAAAATTGATGTTTGAGGTCAGCTAAGATCATCATTTTATTTCACACAATTTAATGTATAGTAGCTACAGCTCTGGGGTTTTTTTTATATTTTTTTTCTTTCAAAAACTATTTTCTTCAGTCTGTGATATACCCTGCGAACATCCGGATGTACCGGTGTGCGGCTATGGGTATGTGCCGATCAACGTGCAGGATCCAGATGACTGCGCACCTGACTATGATTGCGGTAAGTCAATGTGATTTCAACACGGCATATCTTCGAGGAATCAATTCATGTTCGTGTTTAAATACCTGCGGTTCATTTGGATCCTCAGTCAATGACTAAGGACTCTGGATAGAGTCCGAAACGTCTCAAATTGTACCCAGTTGTTTTGAGTAATTGTGTTTTGGCTATCATATTACCTGGATGTCTAACCTTCATCGACGTATTCAAGGAATCATGCCGATTTTGTCCTGATGAAGTCATGATTAATGCGCCAGTAACATTTCAAAGAGGTTCCGAATTTGTCTTTTTGCATTGTGAATATTTCTTAGTGTCTTAGTTGTTTTAATGTCGAACTTTGTTATTTCTAGGTAATGATGTGGGTGTTATCAAATAACTTATAAATTTCAATTTGTTCTGCCATAAATGTGAAGGAAGTAAATTGTACAACAAGACATAATTTAGCCAATGACTAAAAGTTCTTGTTTGTTTTCACAAATAACCATTGATTGATTGATTGATTGATTGATTGATTGATTGATTGATTTCACGTGACTAGGCCAACACCCTATAGCCAAAGAGCCATTTTCTTTCGAAATACAACCGCCTAAGCATGTCATCAATTCTGTAAATAGCTTCAACAATATTGTCCAATTCACTCGATGAAAACAATACTGGTTGTGATTGTTACACGAATGACTATTTCCATTCCAAGAGGGCCCGAATTTCTCTCTTTGCATTCTGGCTATTTTCCTTCCTTGTAGTTTCTATACATGCCAAAGCAACCAAGGCTAACAACGGTCTATTGTTTAACAGTGTGCGACGTGTCTACTTGTGACCCGAACATCCCTGAGTGTAATCAGTTCGAGGAGTTGACTATCACTGAAACTGACTGTTGCAACATCTACAGCTGCGGTGAGTAGTACATATTATCTTGCAACAAGATGCCTATTGAGGGCTTTATGTGCGAAATGGTTTTTAATAAAAGAATGCCACGTGGGTTATTGTGGCGTAACGACAGAGCGTTTGGCTCGGAACCAAGAGCTCATGGGTTCGAATCCTGCCACGCCACGGACGTCCTAACTTAACTCAGGTGAAAATCAGTATGTCTGTTGTCCGTCCCTATTATGTTTGTTTGCGTTGGTGGCGGCATAAAAATAAGTTAGAAAAACTTGAGTGTGCCACCGCCATCTCTTGTAATAAATGTTGAAACAGTAAAATAAAAAATACATTAAATGACTCAGTTGCAATGGTCCTTTATTTTTGTATGAATTTGGTTTCTTCTTTGTTCATTTTTAGCGCATTCAGGATGTGTGCATGACCATTTCATTGTTCTTATCCTACAGTGTGTGTCGACTGCCCGCCACTGCCAGATATAACATGCGAGGATGTAAGTTCTCTTTGTTTCTCATTTAGTTAGTAGTAGTAGTAGTAGTAGTAGTAGTAGTAGTAGTAGTAGTAGTAGTAAGCCTTTATTTAAACTCGAAAGCTTGTCTGGTACATACATATGACCGCTTTTCAAGAAAGTCGAGGGTGAGGGCGGGGTCACGGATTACAAATCAAACCAAAATATAATACAAAATCAAAACGAAATTCAAATCAAAATATATTACAAAATAAATAGTAAATCATCAGTCCGTTATCAGTCCAAGTTCCTTATCATACCTCTAAATGTTCCCAATGACTGGGCTGCTCGTACATGTGGAGTTAGAGTAGAATCTAACTCATTCCATAGTCATCAGCTTAATTTAAAGAGTGCATGTACGTTTCCTGTGAATTACTAGATTACAGGACTCGATTAGAGACATCAGTTTTGTAATTAAAAGACCAATTTTAATTTGCAACATTTTTCTTTTCCAGGGTTACGAAATAATTGAAGTGCCTTTCAACTTTGGATGTAACTGCACTACTCTTGAATGTGGTATGTCCGTAATTATTCACAATTTCACGAAACGTGTATTCTTGCATTTTGTTACTTACTCATAATTTATTACCGCAACAAAACGCTTATAAAGACTCAATTTTCTTTTGTATTTTGCATTGTGTTCATCCTTTACACTCCAGAGGTCATTGGGTGGGAAATATGCTTCCAACATCTTTGTGTCACATATGCATTATCATCTGTAATTTCTAGATATTGCTTTCCTTTTGTTAATTTATTATTTGAACTAAGTCTTAGATACTTGAGTGCGCTACTGTGATGTACTATGTTATACTGTGTAAACAATAAAAAACTTACTTACTTACTTACTTTGATTCCTTGTAATTTAGACTCGGTAGACATTTCTATGTAATACTATTATACCTGAACTGTATTTATTAACATCGCATGCACAGCTGTCTGAATTGTGTTGTAATTAACAGAATTAAAGCTGCCTGTAACTTGTGATCATTTAGCATGTGGATTTTCAAAATCAACACGTATACTAGGAATATATTTCTGATTAAAAAACACGTGGAATCCCCTGTTTCCCGTTGTCATTTTACATGCACCTTATTGTAACTATTCAACTACCCAAAACACATAAATTTTGTAAAAAGTGGGACTTTACGTCTCCCATAATTTGCAAAAGAGAAGCCAAACCCTTCAGACATACTTTTAGAAATAGCTATAGTTTTAGACAAATAACCTTTTATTATGTAGATTCTGTACTCTGTTTCAACGCCCTTTTATCTTATTTGCAATTAGCCCTCGGGCTGGAATTTGCAATAAACTTTACTATTGTAAGAAAGCTGAAATAAAAAAAATTGTTTTGCCTTTTCCTTTCCTAGAGCCACTACCGGACTACTGCATCTATATAGACACGGACTTCGTGGACTACCTGAATTCGCTGGGAATCCCTCTACCTGACGACGTTTCGACGGAACAAACATTCTACTTGGTACGAAAAATAGGTTCCTCCAGGAGAAAAATTAAAATCTCTATAAAAATTTCATTGCTTAGTATTTCTATTTCTATGTAATACTGGTCAAGGGTATACTGGACCAGGGTATACATGTAATTGTTATACATTAGTAATTGGGTAACATTGCGTATACATTATGTGTGTGTGTAGTAAAAATCAAGCAATAAAATTGTTTATTTGTAAAAACAAGCAAGAACTTGTAGCCATTGGCTTAATTGGATAAAATGCATTGTTGTACAATTTACTTTGAATTTTTCTGGACATTTATGGCAAAACAAATTGAGATTGACTCATTAAACATTTTCTTTGTCTCATACGCCTGTAGCCTGGTGACACCTGGAATGCAGCCTTTGAATGCTTGGTATGCGAGTGTCTGGAGACGGTGGTGGAAGAAAACCATTCGCACGGTGGTTCTCTACATGAAATCGAATGTCAACCTACTCAGATTTGCGATGAATCATGTCCATTGCCGGTAAGTGGCTAACTTCTGCACCTGCAACCTTCGGCGTAATCTGTTTTTATATATATATATGTGTATATATATATATATATATATATATATATATATATAT